TTTTTATGTTATTTTTAGATGCTTAAATCATAAATTCATCTGTAATTATTTATTTTTTTCCAGATGGGTATTCAATTGTGCCATTAGCATTTTACCGAATAAATCATTCTTTTCTCATTGATTTAAATATCACCTTTCTCACTTTTTAAATTTCCTTACATAATGGGATCTATTCTGGGCTCTCTGGTCTGTTCTGCTGACTTATCTGTCTACTCTTATGCCAGTATAATGTCTTAATTAGTTTCAGATTATATTTTAATATCTGTCAAGGCAAATTTCCTCCTCTTTCTACTGCCCTGCTCCGTTATTCTTTTAACTACTTTGATTAGTTCTTCTCAGACAGTTCTTTCATATGAATTTTAGGATAATTCTGGTTTGTTCGTTTTTTTAAAGACTCAAACCTGTTAATATTGTAATTGGAATTTCATTAAAAGAGAAGTGCCTAAAAATTATTTAAGAAAAATAATGAAAGCAAAAATATTCTATTTTATGTTATTTAAGTAGATTGTTGAGATACTAAGGACCAAGAACCCCATCTCTTTGTGTTATAGGAAGTGGTTATTAACATTACTATTTAAATGTGTATCTCTTTAAACACTTAGGACTAGTGTTTAAATAGCATACCAGAGCTAAAGGACTTCCAGGCCCCTTACTCCCATGAATAATTTAGAAAAAGGCTATATTTTTATAGGATATTGTGAGAGAAAACATTTGTGAAGTGTTTTCAAGCTACAAAGTTCTTTAAAAGTATAGTCTCTTAGTAGTAGTCACTTCAAAGAAGTTTCTTCCTTTAGTTCACAATGAGCTTATTAAATACTTTTCATAGTAACTGTCCTATTTCGTTTAGATTAAAGTTCATCAGAAAAGAATTTGAGTGGAATAAACTCTGTTACCAGCACCTCAAGTAAATTATAAGTTTCATGAGTGCTTTTTTTAAATTGGCACTGAGCTAATTGCTGCAAAAGATATAAAGAAGTAAAATACTAGTATGTGCCCTCAAGTAATTTACTGTATAGTTGAAACAATAAGGTAAATATACACATGTGAAAAGGTAATTAATACAAAGCAGTGTATGACCGATGGCAAAGATACAGTCTGTGTATACATGATAGTATATATGAAAAGCACTAGAGGAATTTGTATGTAGACAAGATCTTTTACAAATCTCAGAGCTTGAGCTGGGCCTTAATAGGTAAGTAAGATTTGGAAAGAAGGGAGAAAAAAGCTTATTTCAAGTAGAAGGAAAAGTAATGATAAGTCAGGAAGCCAGGTCCTGGGAGTTTTGCAGAAATGGAGAGTTTATATGGAAGTGTTTAGACAGAGAAGACAGTTTAGGGCCAGATTATGGAGTACCTTGAATAACAGACAACAGAATTTAGATTTTGAATTCTTGGCAATGAGAAGCCACCAAAGATTTTTAAGTTGAAATAATGTTGGTGATGTTCAGTATTGACTGAAGTAGGGAGGAAAAGGAGGCAGAAAGTTCTATAAAGAATTTTCTACTGTTGTCTAGGAGTAGATGATAACCTAAATCAAAGTGATGTCAGTGGGAATTGGAATGAAGACGATGATGGGAGAAACATTCAAAAGGAGATTTAGAAAGGCTCAGAATCCTTGGAAACCAGCACCGTGGCATCTGGCTGCAAGATTAGCCCATCTATCCTCAACAGCATTCTGGCCAGTTTCAGGGCCAAGTGCTTCCAAATGCTGGACCCTGAGGCCAGTTATCTGCAGCTGGATGTAATGGGCAGGCATTGTGTTCCCAACATTACCTTTGGTCCCCTGAGGGAGAAAGCCTCCAAAAGCAGCAAGGCCAGGACCCTTTCTTTGATGTGTATATTTTGGGGTTGAGGCTGCAACAATGGGTAAAGCCAATGGCCGTAGCAGGTGCCAATCAGTATACCTTTCATCTCCACGCTACTGAGAACCCAGGGGCTTTGATTAAAGACATTCAGGAGAATGGGATGAAGTTTGGCCTTGCCATCCAACCAGGAACTACATTTCAGTCTTTGGCACCGTGGGCTCATCAGATAGATATGGCCTTGGTTATGGCGGTGGAACCTGGGCTTGGAGGGCAGAAACTCATGGAAGATATGATGCCAAATGTTCACTAGCTGAGGACCCAGTTCCCGTCTCTGGACATAGAGGTCGATGGTGGAGTAGATCCTGAAATCGTCCATAAATGCGCAGAGGCAGAAGTAGCATGATTGTGTCTCGTGGTGCCATTACAAGGAGTGAAGACCTTAGATCTATGGTCAACCTGTAAAGAAATATTTTCTGAGAAGCTGCTCAGAAATGCTCCCTTGATCAGTAAAAGCACAAGGAGTCCTATGTTTCAGCTCGTGAAATCTTTTTACTGGAAAACAAGAATATTGACTACCAAATCCTGTCGCAATTGAGGCTGTACCACTTTTCTAAGCAATTTGTCATTTCAATGACTAACATCTATTGTGCAGAATGTTCCAAGAGGTTAGAAATTGGTGTGTATTACTACTTTTTTAATGATGGAATTTAAAGATTAGTGTGGTAAAATACCATTTCTACTGGGAGACTTGATTTTTATGAGTAAAAATATGGCTGTATTAAGATTTTAAACAGGAATGTGTTTAAATGTCTTAATCCCTACTATGAAAAAAATGTCTCTCCATCTCAAAAGGAGTTTCTGTTGTTTCTCTGTTTTCCAAAAGCAAAGGACGTCCTTATGCTTTTCTGTTTGATGTCATTTTTGATTTGCACATATGCGTGATAATCTGATGAACTTATGAAAAATCTAAGTTTGAATCTGGCTGGGATGGCATACCATATTCATCTTGCTCCTATTAAACCTAGTTTTACTTTACACCTTATATTTGATATATAAAAAACTATAAAAACAATGTATGAAGTCCAGGGATTTTCAGGTGGTCTGTTCTACAACACGAGCATATATTTGATCAGGGGCAGGTTATTCAGCGATTCCTCCCACCTCACCCTTTTCTTAATCAACCCCACCATTCTTAAGGACGTGAAATAATATCGTGCCAGCTCTGAGCATAAAGGGAAGAAAAGCTTCTACTTGGAGGTAAAATCGAGACCTTAGCGAATCAAATCAACCAAACTCTTTGAGCTTCTATTAACTGATATATACACTGAATATAATTATAACTGTGTAGAGTTATAGTGAGGTTTAAAAGAGAAACAATTGTATATGTAAAGCTTCCATTGCTATTAGAATTGTAGGGTAGTAGAAATGAGGATGCTCAGTACAAAGTAGCTATCGTTATAAAGTTTATGTTTTGTAGGTAATAAAGTATTTTGATATAATCTCATTAAATCTGCAAATCACTCCTATCAGTGGTATGACAGGAATTTTTTCCTGTTTAAAAAATGAAGATACTAAAGCTCAGCAATAGGCTGATAGCACAGAAAGGATTTGGGAGGGCGTAGAATTTCTGGTCTGTACTCTTTTTACGGATGGAGGCCTTGGGAGGTGGATTAGGCAAAGGAAGCTTCTCTACTTAACATTGCCTTACTTCCAGTCTCACTTTATCTTGTAGCCCAACTAGGTGGCTGAGATTATTCTGGAACTATAAGAATATATATTTTATTAATCCAAGAAAGACCAGGTAGGCTGAGATGATAAGGTACAGAGTTAATCCATAAGTTAAATATCTATAATTGTGTCCCAAATTATACTTTGACAACAAATATGTGTCTGCCACTTCATTATTGTAAATACTCTTGCTATGTAGTACATATAGCAAGAAATAAGACCAGTGTCATTAAACTTTATTAGGCTACCATGAATTTTAGGAAATTAGATTTGAAAAATAAGAACATTAATACTTAAGCATGGAATAGAGCTTGCTTGTTTTTTTCTATGTTACAGGGTAAAAATTTGTTTCTTAATGTCTGTGTTTATTTTGGCTAAGGAAAGTTTTGTGCCATAAATAGGTGGTGGTTAATCAAATCAGACAACATAAGGCATAAGAAATAACTTTAATTAAATAACTTACCTAGTAGATTATAATATCAGATATGACAGAAAGATTTGAGTTTATTTGCCTGGACAACTTGGGTTCGACTGGCTTTTGTTTTCTTTTAAAAAAAATTAATGTACGGTAAAATTATAAGCAAAAATTTGTCAGTACTTAATTTGAATTTTTTTCTTCTTTAGCATAATTTCTAATCCCTAATGAAACCCAGTGTCACTCTTAGGCTAGGCCAGATGGCCAGGATTGTCAGTTATATGGGTACTACAATTTGAATAACGTTTTTACATGAGAAAAAGTGATTCATATAAATTGTCTTTAATATATATAGAAAAAAATGATACAATAGCTTCAAAAGGAATGTTCCTTAATGTACACTCCAGTATCCAATATTGAAGCATCATCCTTTGAAAAGTTTTAATTCTCATTCTAGGATACAATAAGAATAAATGCTTATTTGAATAGAATAAGCTATGGTAAGAAATGACCAAATTAACTAGAAACAGAACAATATTTTTTTATACTGATAGGACTTTCCTGTCACTGCTTTTGAGTTCGTGTCTTCTCTTCAAGAGATACATAAAATAAAGTAGATAGAAACTCAAGTCGAGTTTCAGAAGTTGTGATAGTTTGAAAAAAACATCAATATTTAACTCTACTTTGCTTGTCTTATTCTGTTAGAAGTGCATAGAAAATAACCTATGTTTAGTCCAACAGATATCAGTGATTTCAAATAAAGGGATATTGTGTTAAAAAGAAAGGCTCAGAATCAAACATAACTTTAATATTTTGGTCCTCCGTGATGGGGAAAATGGTATTAATAGAACTAGGAGGTCAGCAGGATGAGTTGTTCTTTTCATGTATAGGATTAGTTTGTTTTTGGACTTGTTGAATTTGAGGTAAGAGCAAGTCATCTAAGTAGAAACTAGTAGATAGTTGCACTGTGGATCTGGTCTTGGGAGGGAGGTGCTTAGGTTGTATATGTTCCCAGAGTATATTTACTAAAAGCATGTATTTTCACCTTTCTAGAGCTGTATTATAAAGCGATACTGTGAGAAAAGATTTGTGTCCAAATACCTTGCAACAATTGGAATCGACTATGGAGTCACAAAGTAAGTATATTATTTCTTTAGACTTGGAAATTACATAGTAGTTCAGAACGCTTCCAAAATTATCTATACTGGCATAGAGATTCTGAAGATAAATTGGGAAAGAATGGTAATAAGAGATCCTTACAGATATGTAGAGATCATGTCATTCATTCATCACCAAGCGTGTTCTTTTCACCAGGCCTTGCGTTTGGTCTGCATGAGCACGTCAACACGAAGCCTAACTGGCAGGTGTCACTTTTCAGGAAATGTTTCTATAGAAGGAGGTCCTATTAGCAGGTGTGTTTTTAGAACATTTTGAAATATTCTCTCTGAAAAGTTTAAATATTACATGGAAAATTTTCTATCAGTGGACTTTATTGGTTTATGATATTTATAGCCTATTGGATTCTATCAAAAATGATCTTGGAAGAGTGAAATTAAATATAATTGGAGATTTATTCGGAGATAAATCAAGGATGGGTCGAGCTTGGGGAGATAGGGTTACATTACAGGAAATAATACTGCCAAAGAGTAGAACAGAAGTAGACAACACACTCGCTAAAGGCGGAATCTCAGGTGCTCACTCTTACATTCCTTTACACACTTTCCTCTCCATCCACACTGAACTGCCGTCATACTTTCCTATCTCTGTGCCATTATTCATTCTGTCCACCTGACATGGCCTTTTCCCTCATGTCTTCATCCATCAGTCTCTTCAAGCTGTAAAATGCTCCTGTTCCCATAAGCCTCCTGAACACTTCCTTTATCAGTCAGGACTCTTTGGTTGCAAATGAAAGATATATCGAAATGCCCTGCTAGTTGTAGTATTTATCATAAATTGCCTTGTTATTTTTATTATTTGTATGTATTTAATGTCTCTTGCTAGATTATAAGCTCCATGAAGAAGGGCCTATTGACATAAATTATTTCAAGTGCCCAGCATGGTGTATGTACATAGTAGATACTCAATAAATATTTATTGTTAGGTAAGATCAATATATCTAAAAAGGAAGTCTGCAAGATTAGAATATGAGAGCAACAGTCAAGAAGGCTGACAATAGTGGTGGAGTGTATCTATACTTCAGGTCACACGATGTCATCAGTGATATGGTAGAATATTCTTAAGGCAGTTTTGTTTTGAATCATATAAATAGCTAGTTTATTCATCTAAGAAATGAGAATCATCATATTATGCCACAGAACTGTGGTTTGTTTTTTCAACAGACTATTCTGTTTCTGGCTGAAACTTTTTTTGGAAAAGATAGTTGTCCCATGGTGAGTCTGGAGGATATAACTGACAGAAACCCAACTCAAACCGATCCAAGCGAGAAAAAAAGAAATAGGGACATCAATCAATTCACATAATCCAATTACAAAGATGTAGCTGAGCCTCAGAGATGGCTTAAACCAGGGACAGAATATAGCCAGATCATTTCACTACATCTCTCTCTCTACCTTTTGGCTTTCTCTACACAGCTGCCAGCAGCTCTCAGGCTCACATTGTAAATTTTATTTTCAGAGAGGGACCACAATTAGTATTTCAAGTTTAAAAATCCCGGAAAAGGTTTCGATTGTCAGGTGGAGACAGGCGCCTTTCTGCAACTCAGCTGTCGCCAGCAGAGTAGAATCACTAACAAGACAGCAGAGCCCATTTGAACCACACTGGGAGAAGAAAGAGCGGGTAGTCCTTTGGCCCATCAAAACAATAGATGCCCATTTCATCCTTCCTGTTTTCAATATGGTGAAGCTCAAATTTCAGTATGCTTAAGAATTACTTGTAGTTTGTCAAAATGCAGATTCCTAGGACCCACCCCCTTTGATTCTGACTCGCTGGTCTGAGGTGGGGCACCGGAATCTGCATTTCTAACAGCCCCCCTCCCCATGATTACGCAGGTGGTCTTCAGGCTGCAGCTCAGGAAAGCACTGCCTCGAGGAGATGAATTGTCATTTTTCTTGATGTAATTTTCTCTGTCTGGCTTCTGAATTAAATGGACTTCTTTTTGAGTTTCAATGTGTGAGCACATTTGTGTTACTTCCTGATTTCACAGTCTTCAGTTCCATCCCTTAGATGCTATCTCTTTAAGGTAAAATTTTCTAATATAAATTATAATGTCGGATCTTCTCCAGATGCTCTCAAACTCTGTTATTATTTTGTTTTGTTTTGCTGTTCTCACAGTCTTTTATCAGGTGGATCCTGATTCCACAAATGTGCATCTTAGACATGATGAAATATGGTAGAGAATTTAGCAGTGAAGAAATCATGATAAGAATATTAGTGGTGGTTAGTTTGATTTAAACATACAAGTAATATAAAACAACTGAGGGAATTATGGTTTCAGAACTGAAAGTGGTTGTTATAAATCTGGACAGAGAGTAACAATAATAAATAAACCAGAAGATAGCATAGGGACAATGAGAGCAAGTGCTGATGTCTTCATATTCCACAGGAGGGAGTCATATCAGTGCTGTCTAAAACTGAAATATGTTACTTAAAAAAAAAAGACTGGTTAATTTATTGTTAATTATCTCTTCTTTAACCTTAGAGGAATATTTTAGGAAATGACATTTCCGTAGTAAGGACACATTTATATCTAAAGCTCAATAATTTCTCTCAGTTCATTTTAGTGTCTTCTTTGTTGTTAAATGCAATAAAATGTAAATTTTATGCTTTTATGCTTTTATTTTAAAATAGGATAATCCTATTTTTATTAAAATACTTGTTTATTAGTCTTAATCTATGCATAGAAGAAAGCCTGCAGTGATGTTCATCTATATTAATGAAAGTTTTTCTGGGTGGTAGGATTTGGGATACTTTCATCTTCGTATTTTTCTTTAATGTTTGAATTATTTATAATGTTTTATTCATTCATTGTTCAGTAGTGATTTTTCATTAAAAAAAGACTAGAAATAAATATGCTATGATGTTAACAGTAGTTAATTCTAATATGAATGGTTATTTCTTTGTTTGTTTTTTCATTTTCAAATTTCTGAAAACAGATTCACTAATGCTATTGCTCAAATGAAGATCACAAGAAAATAAAACAAACGTTGTTAATAATATGCATCTTTGTTGTTGTTCTACATGATAACCAAGCATAACTAGTAATAATTAAGATGTCTTACTAAGGGAAATAAAACATTGTTTTCCTTCATCTCACTCCTACTTGTCTCAAATCAGTTTTTCTTAGTACCATAGTAATGGCCACCATTTGTTCATTAAGGGGTGTAGACTGAGCGTGTTGAGGTAAATTGAAGGTAAATGAACGTGCTTATTCCAAGTGGATTCAGTGTTATTAAGGAGGCAGGATTCTCTGCCAAGTTTCTGGCTTCTGTTGTAAAGATTATCTGGAATCAAGAAGTGGCACTAAGAAGCCTCTTTTAAATTTCATACACATACCCTTTCAATATTTATAAGTGACATAAATGATATTAATGTGAATACGGAAACCATGACCTTTGGGATTTTTTCCATTCAAACACTTCAGGGTACAAGTCAGAGACAGAGAAATCAAAGTTAACATCTTTGATATGGCTGGACATCCCTTCTTCTATGAGGTAAGAAAGCCTTTTTTTGAGA